TTATCCTCAAATACAGGAAACATTTGTCTAATTGCCTGAAGAGTATCTGGGTGGCAAAAGGAGAGTGCGCCACTCACGTAAGGTGGCGGGGCAAAGGGCGTCGGGGGACACCCTGCTTTCATTTTTTCCTTGGTCCGCTTTTCAACTTTGCTGGTTCCCTTACTTCTACACTCTGCGGTTTTATTTTCTTCCCCTTCCTCTGCGGACGTTAATTCCTCCTCAGATTCCCTATTGGAGAGTTGGAGGTCCCTCAACTCTTTCCAGGGGTATTTACTATTTTCTCCGAGGCGATCGTCACTCGCTTCTCGGGGCTCTTTCGCTTTTGCCCTAGGCGGGCTTTCTCCCTCACTCTGAGGTTTCTTTACCTTCGTTTTTGTGGCCTTTTTTCGGCCGCGCGCGCTCTCTGTTTCCCGTTCCGTTTCTGACATGCTCTCTTGGATATCTGTCAATGCTCTCTGACCTTCTTTTATTACCTTTTCACATCTCTCATCTTGCAGACAAGCTCTAATCAGTTTCCAGAGGGGCCTGGTGCCTCCCCTCAGGCTACCCTCCTCCTCCTCTCTATCAAGATCTTTCCCCAGTTTGTCCCAGCTCGGGATTGAGAGGGACCCTGAACAAATGAACCAGGGGGCCACACGGTCTATCTCCTTCACAAAAGATCCTAAGACTTTGCTGGAGACCTTCAAGTTTCGCTCTTTGAGAGCTGTCTGCAGCGCCGTGACTAATGACGGTGCATTCCCCATGGTGCCTCCTTATTTACAGAGAACCATCAACCATTATCCTAAAAAGCAGGGGCCTCTCGGAACTTACCCCTCCGGGCTTTCTTCTGACCTGCAGTTCTGAATCCTCTCCAGATGTCTGAAGGGTCCTCCCTGTGCCGGTGATGTTCTGGTTCCCGGGATTCGGCACCACTTGTCGCGCGCCCCGTCCTCGCCGGCAAGAACAGCACGCAACAACAGCAGGATTCTTCTGCAGAAAGCTTTATTCTTCAGCTCTTTGTGAAACAAATGAGTTGGGCAGGACCCAGAGGGGAAGGAGAGGCTTGCTTATATAGTTCTCATGCTCTGACCTGGTTGGTGCGGCTCCATATGCCTTATTAGCATAACCATTTGGTGGGTCTCATTGGTCCTTATGCCAAGGCGCAATTAGCATGTAGTTTAGTGGTGTGGGATGATTTGTCATTAGGAAGTTCGGGGCCTTCCGGCTGCCCTGCATTGGGCGCTATTTTCTGAGCGCAGCTGCCAACAGAAAATGCCCTAGAAGGAAAAAACAGATTAGTTTAAAAAAAATACACCATGGAGATTATAAATACAAAGTTGTTGAAAATACACCTAGATGTCACAATGTGTCAGATTATCATCTGATGTTTCCAACAAATATCTAGTACCAAAAGTATCAAAGCTCATTGCTAAATGACACAGAGGAAGAAGAGCAATCAGTAGAAATGAAAAGGGTCTTGAAAAAGTAAAATACAATATTAAATTTTTGTGACTTTAAGAAAGATTAAGAATTGTATAGCAGAGGTCTTCCCCCTATCATGAGAAAGAGGGAGACAGACAGACAACTACAATAAATGCTATGTACTCAGAAAGGATGACAATACAAATCTGACAATGGAATAATACAAAGCTGGAGATATTTTTGCAATGTTATCAAACAATGCCAGCAAATATTACTTTTGCCAGGGAATAGCACAAGAGAGAATTCAAGAATATCCAAGGAAGTAAAAATTACATTTAAATGGGACATACGTCAGCTAAGCCAAAAATTTTTAATAAATAATAGAAAAACAGCTTTTGGGAATAAAAGTGCTACATTTTTTTATGGGAATAAAAGTGTTACTATGCATATTCATATTCAAATTATTACAGGTGTCCCTTTTCAAAAGTTTATGTTATTCCACTTTGCTTTTTACAAGAAACCTACATTAGTGCCTGTTTTCACCAACCAAAAGAACTCCAACAGGGATTTTTGCTTTTACGGAAAAGAACAATAAGTGAAAATAGCATTCAGGGCTTGTTTTTCAGCAAGCTATTCTAGAGGAAGTGAGAGCACCGCCAAGCTCCTTCCCCAAGAACTACACTCGGCAACTCAGCATGAAGCCACCATAGCTTTGAAGTGTATCTGTGAGCGTCTTGTGCTTTATCCTGATTTATTTGGTGCATCTGTTGACAAGATGTGTCCTAAGGTATGAGAAAAGCCTAAAAGGGGTTATTTTTTGGGTCTGGTAATGCTCAAAATTTTTCCCATATAAATTAATGGTAATTGCTCCTCTGCTTTACACCATTTCAACTTACAAAAGGTTTTATAGGAATGCTCTACTTTTGGATCATGGGGGAAACCTGTACTTAGAACTAATAGACTGATTTTTTTTGTTAAGATGACATAAGCCAAGCATCAGAAATTTAACAATTTTGAAACCATTCATTTGACTTTGTCACCAACTAGCCATGATTATTAGCAATGCAACATGTCTAATACTATGTTTGTTCCTCATCTTTTCCTAAGGAAAATAAAGGAAGGTATCCTCTTCAGAGACAGAGAGATTACAATAGAGTACCTACTCTTTTTGATGTTAAGCCAAATATTTACACCACCCTCTTCTTTTCCATATTAAACTTGTCCACCAGTGTTAGGGATATCCCTTATGTTTCTTGACAGCTTCAGGAACTTCCCCTGTCCTCTCCAATTACATCTTCTTTGACAACTTTAATATCCCTATCTGTGACTTGTTGACAACCTGACCTCACATCTTCTCAGCCTTACTGACTTCTTGCCACCTGCCTTTTTCCTTCAGCACTGAAATTGCTCAGCCTCCAAAAATGTAAACTGAAGTGCCCATTCCCAGTTATTACCTCTTGTCCTGTCATTTCTCTCATTCTACTGAAGCTGGTATTTGTCCTCAGAGTAATATAAATTCCATCAATCCTCAACCAGTAGCATTGTAGTTAAGGTTATAGATTTTAGAGTCAAACTGCATGGGTTTAAATCCTGATCCTGCTCTTCACTAGCTAAGTGACCAGGGACAAGATACATAATCCCCCTATCCCACAAATTTCTCACAAGCTTCCTGTGAAGGCCAAATGAGATAATCCATAAAACTGGTGATATTAAAAACATGATGAACATTGCCCAGTAGTATCAGTATTCCAATTGGCTTTACCTGTCCTTTGTGGAGCCCGGTCACCATAGTCATTCTGGCTTTCTCCTGCTATGGCTAGTACTGACTCCTTCCAATGTCCATTTTTTTCATTTCAGCTCCTGGCTTGATTCAAACCTTAGATACTTCCTAGTTAGACCCTATCTCAACAACATGAAGGATACTCAGGAATTTTTAGAATAATTAATCTCTCCATGAATCCTTACTCCATTCCTCACAATAGGTGTTCTAAACCACCTCTACTTACCTCAAGTCCCCAAATCTTACCCTCCCTGAAATATTTTTATGACAAGAGGCTGTTTCTTGTTTCACCAGGACAACCCTGTTACAGAGAATGCTTCTCCTATACTCCCATTTCTTCCCAAGAAGAGGCACCCCAATGAATTTAACTCTTGACTTCTCTATCTTTGTACTCACTCTAACATAGAAGAAATAGAATGACTCACCAGACTGCAAAAGAGACCAGCATTCTCTAACCAGCCCTTTAGATCTGTTGGCAGCCAGCTGGTCTGCACGACCTGCACCAGTTGCTTTCTCCCAGGCCATAAGGTATAGCTTATGGGGAAACCTGAAGTTTGGGATGGAACTTTAACTTTGAAGTACAAAGATCTTCAACCAGAAAGGAATACTGAGGAATATCAAAACCAAAACCAAGTAAATTTAAAGGTATGAGTGGACTTTAGTATATGGGCAGAATGTTTTGACCTTTGCAGTTACATGGGCTTTTAACATCTGAAGTTTGAAAAATAAGTTGTAAGCCTCAGAGCATGTGGTACTCTAACAACAGGAAGGGCATGAAGTTTATGGTTGTTTGGTCCACAGATAGTGGGTATTTTTATAAGATCAGGACTCAGCAAAAGCTAGGGAACCACAGACCCTTGACTTGGGCACATGACCTGTGAGTGTTCTCTGCATCCTCCAGAGGAGGATGAGACCAAACAGGTAAGTTCTATGCACTTGCAAAGGTTAGATGGTGGCAAGATTAGACGCTTTCAGGCATTTGTTGCTTTTAAACTACAAGCCAAATTCTAGATGCATTTCAAAGAAAAAAAAATGTTCTTTCAGTTGTTAGTGGCATTCAGGGAAAAGGACAAAATTAGAGGGACTAAGTTTCATGAATGCGGCTTGTCCACAAACTCAGGAGTAGAATACTCTAAGAACTACTGTCAACTTGGTAGTTATAGATAGTCATGCAGGAATTTCTGTTCCCTGTGGGAACGTAACTGAGAACTTTATGAAAATCTAAAACAGAAGAAACACAGTGTTTCACAGAGCACCTAGCAAAGGTTTTGGTCCTTACTAGAGTCTAGACTCCTAGGCACAGGCTTTAGAAACATGAACAGCAGTTTTGGAATCTGCTGCTACTGATTTTTTCAACTGAAACAAATGCAAGAACCAGATGAAAATTTATGTTAATCTCATCAAACTAGGAATACAGGTGAACTTCCTACAGAACCAAACTAAAACAGAGTCACTTACATCAGGAACAAAATGGAGAAAATCAACACAGGCACATAAAGGAAACTTAACATAGCTTTGCAGGGATTTACAGCTCTTCTCAGAAAATAGCATAGGAGAAGAGCCAATCTCAACGCCAAGTCCATTCACACCACCTCTGGACTTCCTTGTTCTTCTGACTCACCTACCCTAATCCAAATAAGGAAGAAGACCATCAGGCAATGAATCAACTGAAAATGCCAAATAACTTCAGTATTTCCCTCATAAAAATCCGTTAGTCTGTGAGCAACTCAGAACTCATTGCTCCTGAAGCCTTGATCCAGGTTGCAGGTCAAAAGTCTTGCAATAAACTCATCTTTCTGCTTTATTTTATTTAGTATGCAGAATATGGCTTTTGACATTCCTCAACTTGACAGAGAACATCTACAAAAAATCTGTAAAACTGCCTTTGTAAAAACTCCAATTGCCTATGTAAAAACTCCAAAATAACCAACAAATTAAAAACTGCTCTATGAAAGACACTGTCAAGAGAATAAGACAAGCCACAGACTGGGAGAAAATACTTGTAAAAGATACATCTGATAAAGAACTGTTATCCAAAATATACAAAGAACTCTTAAAATTCAACAATAAGAAAAGGAACAACCTGATTAAAGATGGGCCAAAGGCCTGAACAAACACCAAAGAAGATATGCAGAAGGCAAATAAACTAATGAAAATATGCTCAACATAATGTCACTAGGAAATTAAAACAACAATGACATAACACTATACAGCTATCAGAATGGCCCAATCCAGAACCACTGGCAAAACTAAATGTTGGTGAGAACACAGAGCAACAAGGATTCTCATTTCTTGCTTGTGGGACTGCAAAATGGTACAGCCATCTTGGTTATGCCCAGCATAACCCAGCTAATCATGACTGATACAGTGTTCAAACTATAAATTTCTAAGCGTCACAAGAAGACAGCAATATCTCAAATGCCACTCTCTGAAAAAGGAGTTAATGTGGATAGTAAATTATTCCCCTAGAAATGGAAAATTCAAAGTGCCAAATTTAACATCTCCTAATTAAGTTTATATTCAAAGGACACAGATTCCAGAACCTTATATCAGAACAGCCATCCCTGACACCAGAGTCTCTGACCTGGTATTTGACAACACCAACCTATGGGATTTGAGAACATAATTTTGCCTAGAATGAACACACCACAGATGGAAGACTAACCTTTTCTAAATATGATGGGTGTGGAGCAGTTTTGTGACAAAGTTGTGTATCTTATTCTTTTTTGATTCTGGAAACTCAGGGAGAGATTTGATGTTAAATGATTACAATTTATGTCAAGCTACAACTGCTTACAAAAAACTCCAGCCCTATTTAAGCCTTAAGAACTCCTCTACTTAAGATTGAGTGAAATATGAAGTGGAAAGGATAAATTCTGGATATTAATTTCTTTCAAGTTTAAATCTCAGAGGGCAAGAGAATTTGGCTTCTAGCATTAGTTTCTTTGGACTTTAATTTGAAAGGGGTTTTAATCTTTAGACTTCTTTTTCCTGGGAATCTGATAATGGGAAAGGTTCTATCTGGGGAAGTCGGGATTCCTATGGCCAGGATCCTCACTGAACTTAAACCACCTG